GTGCACATACTTGCCACCCACAATGCAATTAGTATCAAATCTGAAGCTAATTGGGGACAAATTTCTGCATGTAGATTTAACATATTTTTGAAAGTCAGGCACAAACTCGCAAAACAGAAATCCATGGTATATGCTGTCATTGTGTCCACAGAGGAGGCACTGGTGCAGTGACACACGATGGTATTACCTTCTGTGGATTTGTTTGGACTGTTAGAAAAAAAATATCTGAATAAAATTAGTTGGGAAAAGGTCTCTGCAAGGGCGGGTACAAATAATGCAGGGCGAACCAACCAATCATTATGCAATTAAACCAAATATCATGACCAAAAAACAAAATGGAACATTCACAACAGAGTGTGTAAAGGGTGCTTTGGGGCAAGTCAAAGTACAAACCTCTGACTTGTGGTTAAAGGTTTTTTTTTTCCTTCCTTAAATGTTCTTTACAGACTCTGTATGAAGCAGAGTTATCTCTAAAATTTTTATGGGCCTATATTGATCCATAATATTTTCGCTCCAGGTGATAGTGGAGGTACTTTTTTATGGAAAGAGCCCTATAAAGAACATTTATCGGAAATATCCTCATTATGAACTTTAAGATAATTGTTTTCATTATTATCACTAGTTCTTAGAACTTCACCTTTCTTTTATGACCACTCAAAAACTGCCAGTATTACACACAGTTTACTTATCTGAAAGGAGGGAGGACTTAAATGCAATGTACATCTTATCCTTTGTGCACACAATCATTGTAGGTTGTCGGCAAATTTCCCACTTAATACACATGCAAGCTTTTTGTGTCCATCAAATTTAGCGCCAAATATTCTCTAAAGATTAAGCTGTCAGAATTTAGTTTAAGGGCATAGTAAAGAATTTATCTAAAAAAAAAAAAAAGCAACAACTGTTTCAAACTTGAGCCACAATTTGAAATGATGTAGAAAGTGCTGAATAACAACAAAGTTAGCAAGGAATAGTCAAGTCTGAGTAAACGGACCACTAGTCCAATGCCAAAGAAACTGAGTGGGAAACTGAAACTGTCGATCATTGTCTTCAGGTTTAAGTAAAGGATTTTATCTAAGAAGAAGGATTGAACCAGCATATAGTCAGGTTGAAAAGCAGGTTAAAACTTTTTAGGAAAAGGGTTACGGGGTTGGTAAATAGTTTTTGCGGTGATGCAGACCTACTGTAATTCAGGCTGAGCTGAAAGGTTTAGTTAATCTCTTGGTCTACATCTACATTCTATGCCTTTTTTGAGATATGTCTCCTGCGGCTGCTAAAAATAACAGAAAAACTGACATTACAGAGACAATGACTCAATTACTGACATAATATAGACTATGGCTGAAACAAAGACAACATGAAATAGATTAAACAAAGGCAATGAGAAAGCAATAACTGCAACGTTGACAGCATGGAGACATATGTTAAAATTACACAGTGTAACAATGACTTTAACATCGACATGTATGGGATCACAAAAAAATGTAATTATGAAAAAAATAATGGACCTAGAACATCATGTATATAAGGACTCAAACAATTAAATTATGTATGCAATGGATGCAACAATGTCAACCTGATAGGACTGGAACAATGAATGACCTCATGTATATGACCACTTAGACTAATATATATTTATATTCCATATCCTTAATTCCTGTATAATCTGTATATAGTTTTCATATTTTTTTATTTAATAGCCTCTTACTCTTAGTCCATATATACATAGTTTCTCTACACCTTATGGATAGATGCAAACTACAATTCATTGCTTTTTACTTGTGAAAGTGTAATGACAATAAAGTTGAAATCTATTCTATTCTAAACAATGACTAGTTGGAGACAACGTGCCTCATGCAAGAAGTGGAATTTGGTCTTAAATTTCTTTTTAAATGATCTGTCACCATGCCAACAGCTGGTATGTCAGCATCCATGGGACAAAGGAAAGAAAAGCCAGCTCTATGTGAGATTGAGCTACCCTTGAAATGTGATGCTGAGAAACTAGTCCATGAATTTGTTACTTCAAGGCTGGACTATTTTAATTCTTTACTATCAGGAAGTCTACAAACCATAGTTAAAACCCTAAAGCTGATACAAAATGCTGCAGCCAGAGTTCTGATGAAAATTGAAAAGAGAGATCATATCTCTCCTATCCTAACTTGTCTTTATTGGCTTCAATTTCTAATCCTCCTTCTCACACATGAAGCCTTACATGGCCAAGCTCCATCTGATGTCAGAGATCTGATTGTTCCTTATGTTCCTAACAGAGCACTTCGCTCTCAATCTGCAGGTTTACTAGTGGTTCCTAGAATTTCTAAAAGTAGAATGGGAGGCAGATCTTTTAGTTCTCAGGCTCCTCTCCTGTGGAACCAACTACCAGTTTTAGTCCGTGAGGCAGACACCCTGTCTACTTTTAAGGCTAGGCTTAAAACTATCTCTATAGTTATGCTGCTATAGGCTTAGACTTCTAGAGGACATAGGGACCCCTTTTTCATCATTCTGCTTCATTCTATCTCTATTCTTCAACTCTGCAGAACCTTTTAGTTCAATCTCTGATGTCATGCTCTCTCTGCCTGGCTGTGTGTTTCCTGGACGTGTCAGGGTTTGGTTGTGGTTTAGAGGACCCAAATGCAGAGGCAGAGAGGCTGAGGTGATTTCTTGTAGTTTTAATGCAAACACTAATAACAATTACAGTTGCCTTTTGTATCCCTGCTTCTGTCTCCTTGAACCCCAGTCAGCCTCAGCAGATGGCCGCTCACAATCTTCCTGTTAAGAGGGAGTTTTTCCTCTCCACTGTCACTACAAGCATGCTTAGTGTGAGGGATTGCCTTCGAGTCAATGATGCAATCAATTGGTTTTCCATGGCAGCTCCTTGGCTTTGTTATTACACAAGATGTGGAAAGTTTGTGTCTCTCTGAATTCATCAATTTAGAGATTCCCTGTTAACAGTTAATGCCTTTTATGGGAGGGATGGAGAGTGAAATGAAGGGCTGACAGAAGTGGTTTGGAGAAATACAAGACAGGTGTAATGATTTTAATCTTGGGTTATACTTTTAGTTTCAACTTCTCTAACAGTCCCACCAAAGCATTTACAACTCTTGTGATATGTTCTCCACTGCTTAGTTTTTACGGGTCCTTTAATTCTGCCGCTCAGTTCTCATTTAGCCGAATCTGTATTTCTAAACCAGTAAAGGTTTTCTTTAAATATATCATTTATTTTCAATGCCTGTTTGTGAATAAACACTTTCTGACAAGCGTGGGAATTTATACCCTTATATGGCATTAACGGAGCAGTAATTATGCAGATTTAAATTTCTCCGAAATGTACACTAATGCACCGGTGGACTGCATTGGTTTTATGTGGATCATTTACCATCATTTGCTGAAGTTAAGAAGCTTTGTTGAATCTTATGTGGTGCACTGGGTGCACTCATAGGAGCCTACGGTATAAGAAAAGTGAGAAAAATTTACATCAAGAATACGAAAATGCTGCATGAGGCCCGTAGGGTAAAAGACACTTTGGTCAGAATGAATAAAACAGGGACACCATGGAAAAAATAACATCATGGATAGAATGAAGTAAACCATGAGTAAGCAAACAGAATGACAAAATGTAAAAAATGAAATCAGGCAGTCAATAACTGTCAATGACTACATACATCCAATGGCTTAAAAAATGATACATTGGCTACATCAATACTAATGTATAGAAAAACTGAAAGAGTCATATCATGGACAGAATTACTGAAACAATTAATTTTGAATCAATAACTGTAATAATGAAATGAGCACACTGGCTATAAGAAAAATTACCATGGACTGAATGCCTTAAACACTGACACAATGCACAGGATGACAGAAACATTTACATCATTGATACATCAAATGAAAGAACAACACCATGAAGAGAATGATTGCACCTGTGACAGCATTTAGACAATATCTGAAACAATAACATCCCTGAAAAAATGACTCAAAACATGTCATAAATGCAGTAACTGAAGCTATGGTATCGTGGATAAAATGAAGCAATCGCATGGTGGAGATGCTGGCTCAGAAATGACAATATGCAGACAATGAATAAAAGAATGACATCTTAGAAAAAAATAACTGAGCCTATAGGACATTATTGAGACAGTGATATCAGGGGAGCATTGGTTGACTAATGCCTGGAACATAAATGGAAACATTGGCTGCAATAATGACAGCATAAAACGATGACACAATGAACCGAATGACTGAACAATGACATCATAGTAAAAATGACTGAAACGACAATGTATAGACAGTGGCTGTGTGCGAGCGTCCGCCCTTTCCCCTAAACCCCTCAATCAATATATATAGAGTGGGGACTATATAGTGGACTTATAGTGAACTCAGTTAACTGATCTTTCGGACAGATGATCACTACTTTCCACCCCCCGTTGGTCACATAACTCCACCTCCCCACACGGTTCCTGCGCCTTTTTGTCACTACCCAACAGTGGGCCGCTGTCACAACAAATCCCAATATCCTTTGTGAGGAGAGCCCTTGCAAAGCAATCTGGGACATATCTGCTCGTCTAATGACCATGGATGATCACTACTTTTCAATGTGCATTGTGGGAAATTGCGTTTACACTACTTTTTCATCCAAGACGTTCAGGCACTCATTTAAAATGGCTTAATCACTATATAGTGCCCTATTTATTGATTAGGACAGACATTCGGACACAGCCAATCATTAAAATGACACAATGGAGATTTACAGAAACATTGATACATTATTTGGTTGTTGGCTCCTCTGGTGCAATCATTCATTATATTAAAAAATAGAAATCAGACATGAGGGACAATTCCTATATTTAAAACTAGGGGAAGCTTTAAATCCAAAGCTTGAGTAAATACAGTGTATCGGTTCGCAAAATCTGAAGGTTTAGTTTCATTACTTAGAAATTTCCGGCTCAGTGTTTTTCCCCTTAGATTCATCTTAACTCAGTCCCTCTTTCATTCTTTCCTTCCAGATCCCACAGATCAGCTATGCATCCACTGCTCCAGAACTAAGCGATGACCGCCGCTATGACTTCTTCTCACGAGTTGTTCCTCCAGACAGCTTCCAGGCACAGGCCATGGTGGACATCGTTAAAGCCATGGGCTGGAACTATGTCTCCACGGTAGCCTCTGAGGGGAGCTACGGGGAAAAGGGGGTGGACGCCTTCATGCAACTCTCCAGAGAAGCAGGTAAGATGGAGTCCGGATCTGATGGATGTGTTTCAGAATCAACACCATGCTGCGTTAAAGTCTTCCTGGTCAGGGTTAGTGGTTTGCAGTATGGTGGAGCTGCTCCAGACTTTGAGCTTCGTTTTAACAGCGGCCAATTTAAAGTCTGCAGATTGTGTCTGCATCTCTTTCTGCTGTCTGTCTGCTGTCACACCAGCTGCTCCTTTTCTCTGAAATCTGCCAGTCTGCAGAGCCCTGGTGAAATTCTCAGCTCATTCTCTTCTTACTGTAAGCCGTGGTTGTAGATGAAGACTAACAGAATGTTTCTGTGGTTCTTAAATATTTATGCAGCACTTTAAACGTGTTGTTTGTATCATTACATCCATAACTACGTTTTAATGAGTAAAATCTACATTTTATTTATTTATTCACAGAAAAACAAGCAGCAGATTAATGAAGATTTAACGGCACCAACTGTGACCGGTACCCATCCTTTAGCAGCTGCTGTTATTAACACTCCTGTTGCTATGACAACGCTGCAGCGATGGATTTCCCAAAGCTGTTTGGTTTTGCAGAGTTTACATTAGACTGTAACACGATTTAAGTCTAGATAACATCATGTACGTTTTTTTGTACTGTAGCTCTATTTTGCTACAGTCACAGATCATCACTGATCATTGATTGTGGGACAATAAAAGTAATTCTGTTCTATTCAACTGATCATTCCATGCAGGCTGGACTGTTAGTCAGCCCAGACCTTTAACAGCTAAAATCTTTGAGCTGTCACTACAGAGCGATCAGGACTCAAGCAGGGTTTGGTTTGGTTCTACCTGAAAGCTGATCAGAGATTTGTGAATTTGGTCAGATCCTTCTTCAATAAAATTGTCTTTGAAGCCTTCAGTATTAAATGTTATGCTGCGTTCACACCGGGGGCAGCTGGC